GGACGATAAATCCGACACCTCCTTGGGACAGATGGTCGCCCTCCCGATGATAGAACAAGTTGCCGGATTCAAGGATTACCGTGTCCTCCCCCTCTCTTCGGACCTCGGATAATCCTATGATATTCCAGCGCAACTTGTCTATCTCTTCTTCCAGCTCCAGGATCTTGTCGTCAGTCCTCAAGGCGCGTGCGTTATAAGTTGCCAGGTCAAATCGTCGTAGGTGGCAACCGAACCTCCACCGGAGATTCTTAGCACCTCCTTCCCCGCCGTTACCACCATAGCCAGGAATAGCGGGGCCGCCAGGGACTAGGGGCCGTCTCGTTACTCACATGGTGGATATATTGCCATAGTTGCCATGCTTGGCGAGCGGGTTGGCAACCGCAGTTTTTTTATTGTTGTTTGATATTATCAGAAAGATACTGCTACCCATCCTCTGCCTCTGTTTCCCTCTGTCGCCACTTACGACACCCACGGGAAGATATGGGGTAGTGAGTATTCTTTCCCGCCACTATACGGGGTATCAAGGTCAACCTGTTAGTAATGTAATACTGGACGCATTGATTTTTTTCTTAAACTTTCAAGATGGTAATTTGCCTTTGGAGGTAATTATTTCATTTTTTTAATCCAATAGTTTATAATCACTACGTTTTATTTATATTTTAGAAAAAGTCACATGTCTATTACGTACTGCGTCATCGCAAGTCAAATACGAGGGCGGGATGATAAGTAACTAGCCTAATAAGAATACACTTAATTTTCCGTGAAAAAATTAATTTTAATTTTCGACATACGAGGGCTGCACTAAAAGTATCGGGAATAGAATATTTCCACTGTTCCTGTCATATTAAAATCTTTTTAATTGAAAAGTCCTTAGTTTTAAAAATCGAATACTATTTATTTATTTAAAAAAAGATTCTCGGTCTTGCCACAAGGTTTTATCAAACTTGTTTAGTCGTTGAGAAAATGGAATTGACTCTTGAAAATTCAAGAGCGATGATTTATTATGACTTTCGAAGTGGTTTAACACAAAAACAGTATGTTGACCGGATGATTTCTGCATTTGGTGATGAAGCCCCATCCAAAACCACAATTTATCGCTGGTTTGCTGAATTTCAACGTGGACGTGTCAAGCTAAGTGATGATCCCCGTCAAGGTCGTCCAAAAACTGCAGTCACCCAAGAAAACGTTGATGCTGTGCGTAAGCTGATTGAGGAAGATCGACATGTGACATACCGCGAAATTCAGGCAACTTTAGACATTGGCATGAGTCAAATACAAATAATCTTGCATGAACAATTAGGTGTAAAAAAGTTGTTTTCCCGATGGATACCGCATTCGCTCTGTGAAGAGCAAAAAGCGGCTTGCGTTACTTGGTGCGTCAGAACTCTCGAAAGATTCCACGCAGGATCCTCAAATGCTGTATACAACATCGTATCAGGTGACGAATCCTGGATATACGTGTACGAACCCGAAACAAAAAACCAGTCACGAGTTTGGGTGTTCGAAAATGAGTTAAAGCCAACAAAAATTGTTCGTTCACGGAGTGTTGCAAAAAAAATGGTGGCCACGTTTGTCTCCAAAACCGGCCATGTTACGACTATGCCTCTTGAGGGATAAAGAATGGTTAATGCAGAATGGTATGCTATCATTTGTTTTCCACAGGTCGTTTCTGAACTCCGTAAAGAGAACTACAACCGCCGCATCATCCTCCATCACGACAATGCGAGTTCTCACACCGCACACAGAACAAAAGAGTTTTTAGAGCAAGAAAACATTGAATTATTAGACCATCCGCCGTACAGCCCCGACCTAAGCCCTAATGATTTCTATACTTTCCCTAAAATAAAGAATAAATTGCGTGGACAGAGATTTTCATCACATGAAAAAGCTGTGGACGCCTACAAAACGGCCATTTTGGAGACCCAAACTTCCGAATGGAATGGTTGCTTCAATGATTGCTTCCATCGTATGGAAAAATGTGTCAAATTTCGCGGAGAATACTTAGAAAAGCAATAAATAGTAATGTTGGGTCACTTCCTTGATTCCCGAAATTTTCAGTGCCGCCCTCGTAGTCTCCGTGAACCTCTACGCACTTATTCCATCTTCGTTTTAAAGCAGTAATGCCTTCCATAAAATGATTTCATTCGAGGCCTGCAAAATACTCCTCTACAGCGGCTATGACTTTATCATTTGTGGCAAATTTCTGTCCGCCCAAAAAAGTTTTGCCCTTAGGGAATAAGTGGAAGTCTGATGGCGCTACATCAGGCAAATAAGGTGGGTGGGGCCGCAAATCATACTTCAATTCGTTGATTTTTGCCATAGCTTTGACATATGTGTGAACCCTAGCGTTGTCTTGGTGGAAGATGATTTTTTTTTTCGCCTGGTTGTTTTTGTTGAATACATTGATGAAGCTTATCTAGAAGATTAGCTTAGCTTTCTCCATTAATTGCTTGAACTTTAGGAAGGTAATTTATCATCAAGATCCCATCTGTATCCCAAAAGACGGAAGCCATCACTTTTCCAGCCGACTTTACAGCCATGGCTTATTTTGGAGCCGGGCATCCCGATTGAGTGCACTGTTTTGATTGAATTTTTGATTCTGGGGTGTAATGATGAACCTATGTTTCATCTGTTGTTACAAATCGACGTAAAAAATTGGCTTTATTACTCTGAAATTCCAGACATTCTTTTGAGTTTTGCACCCAAATCCTTTTTTTAACGTGCGTAAGCAATCGCGGCACCCAACGAGCCGATAACTTTTTCATATTTAATTCCTCACTTAGGATATGATGTACCCGTTCTTTTGAGATACCTGTAGTGTCAGCTATTTCAGATAACTTCAATCGTCGATCTGCTAAAACCATATCATGTACTTTCACGATCATTTCCGGAGTCGTGACGCTTTTTGGACGTCCGGGGCGGGCTTCATCTTGGACACATGTACGACCGCGTTTAAACTCAGCCACCCAGTTTTTTACTGTAGCATAAGAAGGAGCACATTCACCCAAAACATTAATAACTCGTCATAGATATCCTTCCCCATCATGCCCTTCATATGAAGAAACTTTATCATCGCTCTTTGTTCAATTTTATCCATTTTGAAAACAGTTGACGAAATATATTTTCAAATGACAAAAAATCAATAAAATTTTCACGACACCAAATTCAAATTTAGAACACAGGTGGCCAGAGATACGAATTTAAGAATGACATATATATTTTTTTAATTTTAACTTTTTAAATAGCAGTGGCTAGTTACTTATCATCCCGCCTACGTATTACATCCTATTTTGCTATTATATAAAAATGTTACATACGTTCACGTTGCACGTTTCTTTTTAATTCCCCCGTTTTAATCCGACGTTTTCCCCCATGACTATGTGGGTGCTTCAAAGCACCCGAAATGTCAAGAATTAAAAATAAGTAAAATACGTTGAATTAAAACATGTTAAAATCCTGAAAACTAGTTCTACCGTTTTTTTTTTTATTGTAACAATTTGCCAAATTGCCGAGATTTAAGACATAAGTGAACAAACGTCATGTCAATTATGCCACATTGTAACGTGATAACTGGGAGCCCGATAAATTTTCAGAAAATTTCAGACCAGAAAATAAGAAGAAGAAGAAGAAGAAGAAACATTTTGGCTTCGTATAAAAAGTGAAAACTAATGTAGTTCTAACAAATTACCTCATGAAGCCAAATACAAATTTATGTTAAGCGGATCCAAATAGATTCATTTAAGTTGAAAAATTCGGAGTGTTCCCGGGCTATCCCTTGTTGTATACTCTATTCTTGTCCGGTATGGCAGAGTACTAATAGCTCGAAGTCAGAACAGAAGTCGCTCTCGCTATGTACGTGTTGAAGGTAATTAGGGGCAGGATATACAACCCGAGAGTGTTGAAGATAGTGCGACTGAATGCACCGGACGAGTGCGATGGGCGCTGACGGCGGCCGTCGTTACTGGTAGTGCCGCGCGCGCGCACTGATCAACACCATGTCGGAGCGAACTGATTTGTTTTTATATTCGCTGAGTGAGCTCAGTAAAATGGTATATATAGTCGGTTCGCTTAGATATGGTCGCCTTTGTGTCGCGCCGCTTCGGCACGTGCCGCATCTTCTCAGAGACGCCGCCGCGACATCAAAGGTCACCGCGTGGGAGAATTTGGCATTTTAAAAGGAAAAGCCGTAGTGAAAGGTTTTTTTGATGACTCTGCTACATATAGCTGTGTCTCGCCAGCAACGCAAAGTCGGGGATTTGCATTTAGAAAACACCCAAAGTTAGGGACTTTTTAGGTGCTAATTAGGTGCCAAGTTTAAAAATTAGGTGCTATAAAATTGTCACCGCAACGAACTGCTAAAATTTGGGCTGCTAGCAAAACGTATCGCTAGCAACGCAATGAAGTTATTAGATATACGATAAATATTAATAGCAAGGAATTAAGTGCTACTTAGGTGTTGCAAATATAGGCAATGACAAGGCGCGCCTAATAAAAATAAAGTCGTTATTAAGAACAAAGCAGATATATATACACACATATATATACTTAGTTATTTATTATATATTATATATATTTTTGATTTGTTAAAATGTATTTTTTGTTTCTCTTATAATAAGAGCATCCACGACTCTTTCTGACACCAGGGTGGCGCCACTTGAAGAGATATTTCATGGCGGGAATGTTGATTTGTCCGGAAAATGTAAAGGTTGATTTTTGTTGAGAAAGTTGGCGACATCTGGTGAGTGGAGCGGATTATTAGCCCTCATGGAATTTAACATTGATTAAATTTTTAGGTGTGTTGTGTTACAAAATAAAAAGATGCTGTTTGCGTGCGTCCGTGTTCTTACAACAAGTTGAGATAGGTTTTTACATCACTTGAAAATGTCCACAGCGCACTGTCTATCTTCTTAGTTAGGCTGATATTGCAGGGAATAAAAAAGGAAACGTATTTAAAGAAGCAATAATCTAATATTCAAAAAATATTATGGTACATGGTACATTTAAGGATCCGCAGGCGCGTAAGAAAGGCCAATGTTTCTCAACTCGCAATCTTCTTGCAAAAAGTCTTTGACTAAAAGCTTCTTTAAAGCCGCACGTCGGACCTGCAATTTATTTATTTATTTATGTACAATTTATGGTATAAAAAGGAATGCCATAATAATTGGCCGTGTACCCCATATCGTTCCGTGGGTGTAAGAGACAGGAGCGTCTTTTTAATAATAACTAAAAATAAATAACTGCGTTAGCCAATCCGCGCCTGCCAAGCGTGAAAACTATGGCAAATATTCCATCTATGAAGGTATGTACAGTATGGTGGTCCATCCAATAAAAGTGCCATCCAGTTCTCTACACTCACCATACGAAACGCAGCAGCATTAAGTCACTGGTATTCTGTGAGTGCGGTCTTTCCCCGGTCGTGTCGATAGCAGCGTGGCTCAACCACGTCCAAAAATACAAGGACCGTTCACGTTATGATAAAGAGAATCTATTTCTTGATAAAGTAAAGAAGATGTTACCGCCAACGTCTGCCACTTTGCTTGACGCAGCTCTTCGCGTATAAACATCATCTCAGGACGAAGGTCACGATGTGCGAGTGGGTCGTTTTCTATCTTCAGGTGAGGGTCGATGGAGGCCAGTTGTTGGTCACTAATTAGACAAACTTACATTATTTTTCGTCCTTTTTTTGACAGATATTTCTTGTAAAGCTAGCCAAGAACCATTAGCACATTGCGACGAAACTCGCCACAATCTATATCATCCATACAATTGTCACAAGTTTTCTTCTTCGCACAACTTCTTTCTGGAATAGGCTATCATCGGCGGTTTTTCCGCTAAAACTAGGAACCTACTCTTTAAAACGACGGACCTACTCTTTTGACGGCTCCGTGGCGCAGTGGTTTAGCAATCAGTTGTTGCGCTGGGGGCCGCGGGTTCGAATCCCGCACGGAACAAGTATTTGTATGGCCTACAAATAATTGTTCCGGGTCTGGATGTTTGTCCTTGTGCAATTTATGTTTGTAAACTGCCTCCACGACACAGGAGAAAATCCTAGTGTGGGGGGTTTTTTAAAAGATAAAAAAAGGCCGGTAACGCAGCTATTTAGGGGCGGTGATAATCACTTACCATCAGGTGAGTCGCATGCTCGTTTGCGCCCTCTTGTAAAAAAAAAGGAAAGTAGGTATTTAAAATGTACCAAGGGTGCAATACGTTGATCAATTTCCTATAATGTTGAGCCCTTTCGTTACACAACGTTAACTTCATAATATGCAAGTATTGAGCATTATACTTAAATAATACGAATAGCATGATATCTGTACCTACGAAAAATTTGGTAAATTCATAAGATACGCACACTTATTTGTATGGGAGAGGGGGCAAACGAGCATGCGGCTCACCTGATGGTAAGTTACTACCGCCGCCCATGAACAACTGCAACACCAGTGGAATTGCAAATGCGTTGCCAGCCTTTTATGAACAACTGCAACACCAAGGGAATTGCAGATGCGTAGCCGGCCTTTTAAACTTCGATAAAAAATCCCAAATAGTTTATAGACTTTCTCAAATATCTTGTAAACATTAAAGACCGACTTGATTTCATTGATAAATTTCAAGGGAGATCATTCTAAGGATTAGTGGAATCTTTCGTTAAGAATGTTTTGTTAATTAATTGTTACTCGTAAGTCGTTTTAATCGTATTGCACCCACAGACCTATGAACGGAACAATATTGAACAGTAACAGTAACAGAACACTGCCATAAAAGTAACAGCACATTATAAACTAACTAACATAAAAGTAACTCAACCTAAGAATAAAGAAATTAATAGGAGTTAGAATTTCTAGTTTATATAAACCCTTGTTTAAAAAGATTAAAGCTAAAGTTACAGCCTATATACTTATCACTGCTGACCACAGGCCTCCTCTCATTTCTGAGAGGGTTTTAGGGCAAGGAAATGTCCGCCGCACTGCCCCAATGCTTGTTGGCGACCTTCACATTTCTCCGAAATAATATTATTTTCTTATTTCTCAGACCAGCAGGTTTCCTCGCGGTGTTTTCCTTCACTGCCGAGCACGTGGTAAGTCAGCACTTAAAATTGCAATTAACAATTTCATTTATGCCGGCGGGGACAGAACCTGGGTTGCTAGCGCACTATGAATATTTTAACGAGCGCCTATCCCCTGTGCTACCACGGCACTTTAAAAAGATGATTTAAATGATAACGATAGTTACCGTGTAGTGATGACTACGGTATAAGAATATCCACTACCCCGTAATATGGTCCCGTGAGTGTCGTAATAGACGACTGAGTCTGTAATTATGTAACTGAAAATACAACCGTCATATAGCAGCTTAATGCAGCTGTGTTTCGTATGGTAAGTGTATAGACCCGAAGACCCTTTTTACTGGAAATACAAGGCAGTAAATGATAAGCAACAGCATCTTTTTGATAACAGCTAAGTCGTAATAGAAAAATAATGGCGGGGCAGGGGGTGCTAATAACCTCTGGTGGAGGTTCGGTTGTCACCTTAAACGACTTGACTTAGCAACATTTTACCGATGCACCCGGAGGGATGACGAGATGCTTTTGGAGCTGGAACAGGAGATAGACAGGTTGCGCTAGGATATTATAGGATTATCTGAACTCCAAAGAGAGGGTGAGGAAACGGTAATCCTCGAATCCGGCTACTTGTTATATCAACGGCAGGTAGAGTGGCGCTGCAGCTATAATGTGGTTGTATCACGAATGGGTCGGTCCGACCGGTGTAGGACCACGCTCTCACAAAATACAACCGTCATATAGCAGCTTAATGCAGCTGTGTTTCGTATGGTAAGTGTATAAACCCGAAGACTCTTTTTACTGGAAACGAGGCGTTCCAACTTAGTACTCAGGGGTGGCAATGCATCTGCATCTTCATTCTTAATCGCGGATAAATGTACATAGATGTCTATGGATCACAGCATCCACTTACCATCAGGTGGTATATGTGCTTGTTTGCCACCCTTATTACATAAAAAAGAGGTATCTAATTTATTGTCCACAAGTCTATCGTTAGCAACGTTATAAAGATTGACAGTGTGTCGACGAGGGTTGCGTACCTTACACTCTATCATCAAACGATATTCGATGGAAGTCATACAGATTTGCCATTTATTAACCTCGGCACACCGATGATAGGGATGTGTAGGAAATATATGAGGATATCTCTAGAGACATGCATTCCTACAAAATCCAAAATACTTCGTTGATGAGAGACCAACGCAAAACCAAGTACAAGAAAAGGCGATGAGCTGAACGTAGAGAAATTTTAAATAAAACAATGGAACCCAAAGAATCAACAGCTAGCCGACTTTATGGGGAGAGAAGGGCTCATTATGGTGAACTCTTTCTTCTAGAGGCGACCCCACAGGACTTGGTCTAGCCCCGACGGTTCGACGAAAAACGACTTCATTGTGACGATCAAGCGGCAATTGTTCAGTAATGTCTCAGTGGTCGCGAGGTTAAGAACTGGCAGCGATCACCGAATGGTGAGAAGCACACTGAACCTTAACTTTTAAGTTGAAGAGGTCACGTATTATGAAGTCAACGCTCATTTTTGTGCTTTCATCCAAAGCCCTGAAAACTTTCAGCTCGAATTACAAAATCCTTTTCAGTAACTAGACGATTGCAATAAAGTGGATGATATGAATGACAAGCTCATGGAAACTATATATGGCCGGAGCTAAATTCTGCAAGACACTATACATGGTAGAGCCATACTGCAGCTATATTAGTTATATAGCTGCAGCATGGCTCTACCACGCTCGTGTGTATAGGTGTAGTACGAAAGGGTCGGCTCGACCAGGAAATGACCACGCTCTCACAGAATACCAGCATGAAATAGCAGCTTAACACTGCTGTGTTTCGTATGGTAAGTATAGAGAACCGGAGACGCTTTTTACTGGAAAAAAGGCATTCCATCTTAGTCCTCACGGATGACAACGCATCTGCATATTGATTTTTTTGAGGATAGATGTACATGTCTACGGGTCACAGCAACCATTTGCCATCAGGTGGGCTGTGTGCTCGTTTGTCACCCTTTTGTATAAAAAAATAACCCAAAACTCTCCGATCAAACTCTCAATCTCATGCCTGTTAGGCGCGATATGAAGCTGCAGTCTTCTGTGATTACTGTCAGCATGCCTGTATGCTGACAGTAACAGGTGAACAGTGAGAGAGCAAGCGGTGAGACTTATACAACTTGAACACAGCTCGTTTTGAAGAAGCAATTGAGTTGAACCAAAGGTCCAAAGTCTTTGCTAGAGATCTGCTGGAAGGAGCTAACTTTCGAAGTTGAAGACCGATTGTAGCAGCGCATTTTCGGGACACCTGAGATCTCGGGTGATATTGAGAGGTTCTACGGACATCTGTACAAACAAAATATTTGAATGTAAATACTATGTACATAGTTGGTGAAGCGAAACGTACGTACCTATGCCAATGAGACGAATAATGACTGTACATACTTACAATGTTTTTTTAATCTTAAACACAAATGTTACCCTTGTAGACTAAAAAATAAATTAACGAAATTAATCATCATTATTGTTGAGAGACTGAACCTTATATCATTCCTTAGTGCCTATAATATCACAGTAAAATCACAGCTTTGAATTATCTGCCATATCACATTGCACCAAATATATAATATACCTAAATCTATACAAATAAATAAAATTGAAGTGTCTGTTTGAAATGTCAAAATTAAAGTTTTTTTACTAAATGCATATGAAAGTAAATACAGTACTTATAACTAAAATACAATTTTTAAAATTTTTGTCTGTCTGTCTGTCTTTCAGTCTGTTTGTTCCGGGTAATCTCCGAAACGGCTGGACCGATTTTGACCGATTTCACTGGCAGATAGCTGATTTCATAAGGAGTAACTTAGGCTACTTTTATTTTAGAAAAGTATTAGGGTTCCGCGCAAAAACATAAAAACCCTAACACACGAGCGAAGGCGCGGGGAACAGCTAGTATTACATAAATATTCGCGGCTTTGAGGTGGCACAGGCACAATACATAATTTTGTATTTACCCGACTGCCCAGGGTAAGTATGTATGTATGTATGTATGTATAAATGTATATTTCTTTTATTTATCTTTATATATAAAAATTACCTGTCACGTTGATTGTCCGCGATGAACTCCAAAACTACTGAATTGATTTCAATGAAATTGCACACTGTGTGCAATTTGGTCCAACTTGAGAGATAAGATAATTTTTATATCGATAAGTGACCCTTAATTTTTTTATTGCTTTGCTGCTGCTATTTTAAGCAAATGGTCGTCGAAAAGGGCAGAAAAACGTCTGCCTGGTCATCTATACTATAATATAATAAAGCGGAAGAGTTTTTTTTTGTTTGTTTAAACGGGCTAATCTTTTTGTATATTATAGCCAGATTCATGTGGAATAGTATAGGCTATCTAGCATTAAGCTGTATTCAGGCGTGTCACTTTGTAAAAATCTGAGGTATGGAAAATGGTGGCGCGATTTTCAAATTTGTTCGCATTACTCGTGGGGTATTAAGGTTTAAGAGTTTGCAGTGTATATACTCAACTTATTTATTGAACTATAAGATGTGGGGTATTGAGGTTTAAGGGCTTGCGA